AGACGAGTATAAGAGCAGGGGAATCCCCTAATTAGATACCAGTCTCCCATGGGCACTCCCTTAATGTAACACACAGTAATACCAATCCACAAGGGATTCATCTGTCGATTTCTAATAAATACAGGACGTTAATTTAAATTACAGGCGCTAGAATTTTTAAGAACTGAACTTTATAAGACACCGACGTAAGCGCAAGCATAAGACATAATGTAAGCATCGCCAAATAATAGGATGCAGACTTCAGAGAAACACAAAAGCGGAAAAGAAAGATTATAATTTCAATTTTTGTATATGATTACGTCTGGCGAGGATATGGGATCCGYCTTGATCTCGCAGCAGCTTTCGTGTCCGAGAAGGAGAGTTGGACGGGACTATATTTAACATTTAACCAATACTAATGACATTCTGCTTTCTGTTTTAAAAACCCTAAGTATTGGACATGAATTTTAATGCTTCCACTTTTGAAGTCATCGAGACACCAGATGTTCTACATTTATACATTCGGCTCCATCGTGACATGAAAGACCGCGTCCTCTTGAAATTATTTCGCTGAGTGACGATAAATCATACATCCGACTACTCCAATACCGATGACTCATACCTAATCATCGTCCCTAGGAATTATGCTTCACCAAATTCACCCGCCCTCTGAGCATTCCAAATAAGGATGAATAAGCCCTCAGCCAATCGTATGCGTTGTTTCAGTTTTTGCCAGCAGGCGTCGTGTTTATGTTTTCTAGTGGTCAGCAAAATTAGTCGAGTAACTGCAATATAGTGATATTTAAAGAACGATGAGTCATCCCCAAGAAGATCAAGTAGTTTTAGATTTGTGCTCTTGGCTTCAAGCTTAGGTTTCACCAGGAAGAGTTTATTGTAATTAAGAAATTGCTCGGTAAATCCGTAAATGAAAAGGGGAAGGATTTCTTTTAGTAAGYAAAGTTCTGCTCGCAAAGCGGTATTATATGCTTATGTTGTAACGACTGCACCAACTTAAGAATTAAGCACAATATATGAACAAGCAAATATCAGAAAAGCAAAGCTAAGAAAAAGATCGAATTTACAAAAAGATAAAAACTGCAAAAAAATAAATAAATAATAATAATAATAAAAATAAAAATAATAATAAAAATAAATGCTCTGCTTTCGTTCTTCTTCCTTTGTTTTAACAATGCTGGGTCTTATGCTTTCGTCTATGCTTATATAATACTTTATGTTATACCTTGGCTTCAGATAATTTTATATTTTCCTTTAGTGTTTTCCGCTTTCTACGTTCGTTCCTTACTGTTTGCACAACGGATTATCAATAGAAGTAAAACTCCAAACTTCAAACTAAACAATAAATCAACTTCAAATTGCATTGGCAAGCTTAGGAAGAGGTCTTATAAGATCTGGTCGACCAAAAAATCTCAGTTACAGCCGAATTAGGCGTGGCACAACTAATAGCCCGCAGCCATCTCAAATAGCCTGCCCAAGTTGTCTTTACAATACGTCTGGTCGGCGAGGTCCAAAGCAATTGTTTAATAGCACTGCGACATTTGAAGCTACGTTGTAAAGATGACTAGGGCATGTTGCATGCGATAGTTGTAGGCTGCGCCGCTTAAATAGTTTTTATGTTGCCTTTATGTAGTTTTTGAAGCCGACGCTGGTCGCCGGGTATTAATCCTGATTCACTTCCATGTCCAAAAAAAAAAAAAAACCTACCCAAATTAAAACAAATTGTATTGCTATAAACTGAAAGCCATATTTGCTTATAGTATTGGACTTTTTAAGAGCCATTTATCTCAATAAACCATCTCTAGTAGTAAATTAATTATTAAACGAATTAAAAGCTGTACATCGTCAATTTCCCATTTGAAGAGGAACCCATTAAAGCAGAGCTCTTGAACCATTGTGTCATTAAGAATTTTTCGTTTAAACTCTATAATTTTAACTCTATAATTGCAGTGGATGCAACTATATACATAAATGGTCCTTTCGCCCTTGARCTATATAAGGGTTTTGAGTGAAGCCTAGAGAATGTACGGTCGTGATGTATTATGGGTATTTATGCTTGATGCAGATTATTCACCAAGGTTGGTTGTGAGTATTGTGGGCTCCATAAGTGAAGACTCTGATAATCTACAAAACCTTTTACTCTCTCTTTTAATCTCCACTGTTTAGCTACAACATTTTAAAAGTTTCTGTRTCGAGTTGATACGGCTATTTTCGGATTATGCCCTCCTTACTGTATTATGCCCATTGATTCATCTTTTGAATACTTATTGCTGTCCACAGTTTTACCTAGCTACAGTACATTTCGATATGATATTTTTAAATTGTATGTATTATCATACAACCTTTTAAAATACTCTGTGTTTTGGAATCGGTACTTACACCYTACTAATTCTGTATTTCTGTTACTTGTTTGTCTACAGTTTTTAAAACGATATTTATTACTATACATTCCTAGTTGAAACCCGTCAGAGTATCTTAGAGACTTGGAAAATTTGGATTTGTTATATATTATAGAAGAGTGCGTTTTCCGTTCTGGTGTCTTTCTCGAATATCTTTAAAAATCAGTGTGTTTGGGGTTGTTTATAAGTTGTATTATATATTTCTGCTCCCTTCATGCCTAAACGGTTCTAAAAAACTACTATATATATTTTTTTATTTTTTCAGATATGCAAGCTATATTTGCCACTATCTCGTATAAATGAAACCTCAACGTTTTTAAAATTGCTGTATGTTCTATTTACTTCTTATCGATTATAGCTATTAAATATTTCTTTTTTTAAAAAATGCGAAAGTCTTATGATAAGTGTATCGCGCAAGTCTTTTGGTTGACATGGCAAAACTAAATGTTATCGTACATGAACAATGGCTCAATGACCGGAAAGTTGCCAATCCAGATGTCTCGATAAACCTTTTAGCTCTTTATTTCCAAACATGGTTATAATACATCGTTATATTTTAAAATGAATGAAATGACTTAAAAATCACTGGAGTTTAAGGTAACTGAAGTCATTGAAAAATTGCGGTCTATATCTCGATTTGTAATATCAAACAGCCAACTAATATAATGACTTATATGGTAAAATCAACACGTTTTATTGGGAAAATACGAGCCGATTTGTATTTTTATTACATGCACTTAGCCTCTGTTGTGATATTTTCTTAAAATTCAATTTAGATTCTTAAGAGTCAAAAGGCTGCGTGGTGAAATCGTTTTCAAATATTGTAACATTCGATATACATATATATATACACACAAAGATACCAAGTCAAACAAAAACGACGAAATAATAAAGATAAACAAGACCGCGGAAATAATTATTAAAGATCAAACTTATTATCAAACCTACCAAGGCATCTTAAAGATAAGAAACTCAAGACAGCGATATAATAGAGGCTAGAAAAACTGAGAAACTAGAATCGCAATATCTTTCWATAAATTAAGAAACTTCAAAAAGTATACGTAATAACGAATAAATCATGCAGAATATCTTGACTAAGATATATTTTAAAACACAGAAGTCCTTTTGGCGTTTCATTGAGTCAGCTAGTACTCTGAGCGGACGTCGCTCTAGGTATATACTTTAACATACTGATGGTGGACTTATTGGAGGCGCCCGACCCTTGAAATTATCAACTGCTGCGTAGTTTCCTTGTTGTGMGGTTCCCTGGCGCCTCGGCGTATTGTAATGGCACAGTCGTAAGAAAACATATATACAACGAGTACATATTTTGATAAATATAGCATAACGGCTAGCTATACTACAAAGCGCTGCTATCAAAACTGTTTGACTCCGAAAAAGAAACGCTCCGTTTGATTGTAGAAAGTTTTCCTTTAGAAGGGAGTTACTACTCCGCAACGCTACCCTGTCGTCAAAACAGACTGTTTTGGAAACGCGCGCGGTGAAACGCTCAATCCGATCAAAAAGTCCAATTTTCACAATTGCTTTACATTTGTTTWWAAAAAAAATTAAGTTTGCAGAAGGGAGTTAGCACAAGTAATTTATAATCTGACCGCCTGCCATGCCGTCATAACAGMATTTCTWAACGCGCGAGAAATATACATATTATCAGGTAACTTAAAACTCRGTGAGATTTAGTATTTTAGTATTYTAATCTCTCTTRAAAGCCGTTTCCATAAAAAGCGAGTACACATRAATTATAGCAGTCGCAAGAATTATTTTAATGCGACGAGGCGCGCGAAAATGCGCTCCTTATCTGAAACCTCGGATCTCGCAGATACATAACATTGTTCTTTCGACCATATCTTAAGAATTCACCTTCAGAAAAGAGTTATAGCGCAAGTAAAAATCAACACTTGGTGATAACAGACGCTTGTATAACACGCGTGAAAATGCGCTCTTTTTCTTATCAAATGCCTTGAATCTCGCTAATACATAACTTTGTTTTATAAGCCGCATGGGATTGGGTTTATCACTAGTCTTATCACCACCACATGACCGCGTTCTTTCCCATTTGTATACGCCGAAAACCTCCCAATTTGTACTTCACAAAGTCACTATTATTCTTAGTATTAAAGATTTATGTGCAAATTAACAGCCAGGGATTTGAAGTATTTTTTTACGAATTTKTACCTAAAAAATAATTGCTGGTATTGCGTTGAAGAGTTCATTAYTTTCGAGCCCCCGAGCGCACATTTTTATAGAATGCCCCAATAATTATTGCTAAGCCGTTCTTTCGTTAGCAAGAGTGCAAATAGAACTTCAGCGGCGCCTGTCAAAAAAGGRTGAGGAATAAGTTTTTGAACAAGACTTCTATTCYCAAAAACACTGATTTAATTCACGCAAACCACTTGTGAAGATGGACAAAAAAGGTTATTTCCTCTCTAGTTTACTTTAACTATACGAGAAACTGAGGTCACTGACGGTTATGTCAAAAAATAATAAGTTTAAATTGAACGGCAAACATTCAATTACGCGGCTTACTATCAACCTTATATCAACCAAAAACAATRTTARGGATGATTGTCTAGTTTCGGATAAATTTACCTTGTTATAGAGTCTTGGAAAACTTCGKTRTATCGTCCGTCTTKTCGTGATCCTCSGTGAAGTTTGTCCTGTAGAAATTAATCATTTTACGGCGTAAATCAATTGTGTATAGTGTTCTGAGCGTCGTCTAAATTGAACACTGTTGGACAATATAAGCACGGATGTGGCCGTCTGCGTTATTAGAATTCGGTACTTTGCGACAAATCACTTACAACATAATCGATTCGCAAGGCATTGTGGTCGAACAATGACAAAGACAAAATTGTCAATGTTTTGAATACAAGAGGTTTGGYGTTAGCGTCAATAAAAGCGCCTATTCATTATTTTTRCGATTAACTTCTCGTATGTTTCCCTTGTTGTTCGTGTCACATTTCCCATCTTAAACTGCCATTTAGAGATGTTTATCGAAGTATGAAGCGTTTTCCTGCATCTCACTATCCTTCTTAATCACAATTTAATTTTCAACAAATTTGAATAATTTTGTTTTGTCAATGTAGTTTTGCGTCCAGGCGTAATATTATAGMGGGTTTGATTGATTTTGACTCATTTGAAATGACTTTAACCTGTTTATCTGTATTATTCCGAGAGAATATTCAAGACAATAATGGTACTTGTTGATATCGCTAATCCGTTTGGAGTTCTCAAAAAGCCCCAAAGGAAAATCTCAGTTTTTTTCCTTCACTGATGATAAGTTGATCTTTCAGGTACTCGTGCTCAGAACAGACGCGATTTTATGGATTAATGTTACAATAAACACTTTTTTTCCTCGTGCTTTTTACCTTTGATGATTATTATATTCGGCCTTCCAGACACTCAACAATGAACTGCTTTATATGCAAATGAATCCAAAGGGTAAAGTTTGTTGTCAATGTTTTCGTTGTTTAGCTTTCTAATACTGGAAATCACTATAACTCCCTCTCTAAGTTTTGATAAAATATCAGTAATTCATTGGCCARACTCATGTTGTTTGATATTATCAGAAACCTGCCTCATCGAATACGCACGTGGCCATGAGAAGCCACTTTAAAATACATAAAAGTACATACTTTTGTATTGACTAAGAATGGGCTCATACAACGCCAGACAAACTTACCTCTTTCCCCAAAAACTACCAATATATTTGTGGCATAATACGAATCATAACTAGGCCTATGTCGCTATATACAAAAGAGTTTTCTAGCGAACAATAAAGCCACGAAGAGTAATTGAATTTAGTCACCAAAAGTACTTGAGTTACTACCTCTACCCTGCCCCCTTTAACATATAGGCCACGCGCAATAACTAAAATACTCACGTGCTTGCCGTAATGCCTTCGTGAATTAARGAAAAGAGGGCAAAACCCTTGTAGCTATTGGACGACAATTTCTTGAGATTCCATTAGAATTTCAAATGAATTAACTGTATTATAGCACAATGCCTTTTAATGTACAAGTGAGAAGGCCAGCTGCATGGAAGGCCGAGGTAGGGGGCACTCGACGCGTGCGCTTTTCTTGTGAAATCTTAGGATTAAACGCAATTACATCAACCCTATCATTTTAATTTCAAGAATTTTTTCTTTGTTATAAATGTTGGTGTTAAAATATGTTATATTGTCTTRTTAAGATATAAATTAAGATCAAGAAATAATATAAGCAGACTGTTTGGTCGATGACAAAGGRMACTCCATCACGACTGAAAAGAATTTTTTTACAGCTACCAKTGATCCTTTTCAGATACGMGCGCGCGYGTGTGTCGTCATAATAAGTACAATYTAAGCATCATGCACAAGCCATTGTATCTTTGTATCTTAAAACAGAACCCTTCGGCACTTCAACGTATATATATAGTATGTTATAACAGCTCTTATCATATAATTATATATGAAATACCTATATTTCTCCATTTCGTAAAGTTGATATTTTCACTAGTGAAAATAACACATTCGAGGTTTCTCTATATAGTGGAAGTATAGGAAAAAAGATATTTTACGACATAATTTGCTTTCAAATAAAATGATATGATAAATAGAATATTACATGTTTGTTTGAAGATACGAATTTTATCTTCGCTACGCTCACTCGTGAGAGATCTTTTCAACACCGTATCTTCGCGCGCCCATGTAATATCCTCCATATTATATACAGCTCTTTTCTAAAATCGTGATAATTTTAGACTTATGTACAAAGATGCTAAAAATGTCCTAAAAATTCCTTTGAAATTATGGGATAGCTTCAAAAACCTCTCTATAAATACTCAGACATTGATAAATTATGTTTAGACAACCATCCCATATTTTAGTGATTTAAGAGATATTATATACAGCTCTTTTCTAAAATCATGATAACTTTGGACTTACGTACAAAGATGTTAAAAATGTCATAAAAATTCCTTTGGAATTATGGGATAGCTTCAAAAACCTCTCTATTACTCAGACATTCATAAATATATGTTTAGACAACCATCCCATATTTTAGTGATTTAAGAGATATTGTGTATAAATGAATATATATATCTAAAATTCTCATTAATGTTCGGAAATAGGTGACGATATAACAAAAAAAAAAAATAAATAAATAAAAAAAAGGAAAATCAGAACAAAAAAACCCCTGCAACTTCAAATATATGATATATCTTTTGATTCCATGTAGGTTACTCTCTCAAGGACAATAAATAATATATATTAAAAGCTGCAGAATTTGTTTGGCTAGGAGTACAAAATATTCTGTGATAACAATACATATACTTATATATAATTATTTGCATAACTTAAATTCCAGTCCAATTACAATCTGAATACCATATCTCCAAAAAGATATCTTAATATTTCAAAGTGTGTTTTATATGCTTTAACTGTGGAGTTTGGCCACAATTCGATCTTATTTAGATTAAAGTTCCTGCAGATGCCTAAAGTCAAAATTAATCACGTGATCACTGTTTTTTTGTTTCTGTATTAACGCTCCGTTCTTTTGCGTTTGTATATAAATTCGACTGTTTTCTCGTAAGCGTAAATACAATACACGYATCACTATTCCTATTAGCATCTCTACGTTTCTTCGGGATGTTTATAGATACTTAAAACCAACATGTAAAAATATCTCTATTTCTATCGGCATTGCTGTATGTTGCAAATATTTTGCAAACCTCTGTACATGCATGTAGAAACATTATACGTGTACAAAATGCAGAAACTATGATCATTTTGACTCATACTTCAAGTATATATATCATATATCAGAAACGCCAATATTGTTGTACTAGTGCTAGGCAACTTCGAAAAAAATATATATCAGCGATGATATCCCATAATTTCCGATAAGTTCTAAATATACTTGGAATATGAGTCAAAATGATCATATTTTCTGCACATTGCTTTATATRAAATWARTCATCCAWGCATTTTACATGTAATAACTATATTATCATTTTCGTTATTATTATTATTATCATTGTTATCAAACTACAAATATATTTCGATTTGGATATATTAATTTGCTTTTACATTTGTACTTACTTGTGATTTTATAATCCAAAATTCACGATCAATTTTTTCTCTTAACGATGAAGACCTCTAAGCTCCAAAAATAACATCTGCCATCATATCACATAGCATAGTTATTGCTAACCCCGGTCCCACAACCCCCTGGGGAGGGCCGAGGATAAGCACATTCTAGCAGGGGATTTAGCTGCATCAATCCGCTAGCTGAAGGCGGGAGGATTAATTTCTTAATCAAAGGAAATGATGTGTTCTTAATCAAAGGAAGTGGTTTGCCGCATTATGTATATAGGAGCCGGAGAGAGCGGGACCTTAATATTGCTGTAATGTTAATTCTCCCGGTCGAGCGGAGGTTTGGGGCCGTATGGTTTCAATTGAAGTTAACAACAGAATGAATTCMTGGGTAACGTTTCAAAAACAACACAATCAATTCAAACTTTTTAGTAAGTTTTCTCWCAGAAAAACAAAGGCCTAAGCTGGAATTACAAATAATAGCGTTTTGAATTATAGTCATAATGTAAGTTTTTGATTACAGTTCACTTTTTTGTAAGGTTCAAATTGTAATCACTAGCTAAATTTTATGTTTATGGCGTACAATGGCAATGAGGACGCGAAAAAAAAATTGAAAACTAGACAAAACATGGAGGAATACATTAAAACTTAAGTGTGACTTTCTTTGAAGCTACCTTTTGTTATTAATGTTAAAAAGCTTCAACTAAATTTCTTTAATTACAAAGCTTCAACAYCATCGTGTAAATTGATTTATGTTTGACTTACTTTGTGTTTCGGTTAACAAAAATAAAAAATATTCCGTTTAGGAAAATAGTCGTTTACCGTTTGTTAGTTATSTTAAATGATATTGTTACCTGAATTAGTCCACCATGAGTTTTACAAGCGCTACTTCKAATCAAAAAGCTCTCTTTTTCGCAGTCTAAACTTTGTAGATGTTAAGAGCAAGTCTTCTTTTTGCGTATTTTTAAAACTTTGAAACCATCTATAACGTCTATATTGATAAGGTTATAGTTCTTTCCTTTTACAAGTTGCCCAACACCACATGCGAGTATACACTCAATGAAGAACAACCTGATCTACCGTAATTGGATAAATGTAAACACCCTTAAATAATAAATCCTTAGCAATGGAACTGAAATGAAATTTCACTCATTTTACCATAGGATATAAATTACACACGTCAGTTTATATTCTAACTTTAATTTCTTGGGATTGAATGTGTTGACAAGTTTAACTTATTCGATGTTCAGTCGGACAACTTGAATGGCGGAAATTTGTCAGTTCGGACATTTAGGGCAATGTGATGTGAAAGCCGATTTTAACTAAATTAATGGTCTTTCRTAAAAGTAATTACATCCATTTTCTTATTCATTCTCATAGTATTTCGCCTTCTGTGCAATTGATGTGACGTTTCTTCAACATTCAATTTKAGATGACTTTTCATGTGGAAGTCTYCGTGTATTTTTATTTTGAAAATATAAATAACAAAATTTCTTGAWTCTGATTGGCTGAGAAAAGTGCTGTTTTAAGCATAAACAACGAGGATACAGCTGAAATATATTGTATTTTACTAACACCATACTTGATTCTGKTTGGCTAATAAACAGTTRCYGAAATAACTGCTGCATCCTGAAGTTTCCTATGTCTTTTTTTCTGGAAATGAAAATTTCAAATTTCAAGGGATATTTATACTAAATGAGGTCGCACTCGGCTTTCTGCCGTGTTCTTCGTCTTGATTTGCATACACGGCAMAATCAAAGCTTTTATAGCAGACACGGGTCTGCGTCTGAAGCTCTCGCTAGCATTAAATTATTTTGCCCAGAAGGCTCGAAAAACTGGTAATAGCATTCTTCACGATTCCCTGCTGTGCCTTATTAAACGAATGACGAGATCAACGTCTACCGATGAACGTTCTATTATAGAAACCTGCTATTTTGCTGGAAATTATACAAAGATGTCTATCATAGCCAGGGGCGGATCGAAGAGGGGTKCCAGGGGGTCGGCGCCTCCCTTCCTTTTTGGGAACGTCCTGCTTAAATACATATCCTTATGACCTGCCCAATCCAGACAGATMCTAACTGTAGATTCAACAGTAGTCGATAGGGGTGATTGAACTGAAAAATCAAAATCTTCTGTGCTAACTATGTTTTGAGTAATAGTCTTCTTCACGGTTCCCTGCGACATCTTAAAAGATAGCCATACCTTTATATCGAATCGAGACAACCGTTGAGCGTGCAATGACAGAAACCTTCTTTCACACCTACAGACAATTATTCATAGGTATCTATCATTGCACGCTCAACGGTCTCGATTCGATATAAAGGTATGGTTACCTTTAAGATGGCGCAGGGAACCGTGAAGGAGACTATTGTCCAACGACTTCTTATAGCTTCTACTGTAGACCACACTCACAAACCCTTCATTTTGCCACCAAYATCAATTATTGAAACAACAATGTCACCCTGTTTCCAGAGGTTTTAGCCTTTYCGTGTTTTTAAGATATTTTCGGGGTTGCACTCTAAGCCGTTCTTTTTCTCATTTATAGTTTCTCTTGTTTATTCATCCAACAAGGTATCCATCAATAGATGGTTGTTTTGGGGATTGGTGGGGAAGCGATAATCAGAACACAATRGTCTCGTTCACGGTTACCTGCGCCATGTTGTAACGTAGTCGTGCCTTTTCATCGAAGCGAGACAACCCGTTGAGCATGCAAAGATAGAAACCTGTAAACAATTGTCTGTAGATGTGAAAGAAGGTTTTCTATCATTGCACGCTCAACGGTCGTCTCGCTTCGATGCAAAGGCACGGCTACCTTTCAAGATGACGCAGGTGACCGTCAAGGAGACTATTGCAGAAAATTTGTTAAGAATCACGATATCAACAGATATAATTACTGCTTCCCTCGCTGATCGTGAAGTTGCAATTCAATCCGATTCTCTGGAGAATTTAGAAGCCTGMGGCGATGAGTTGCGGCCCCATATTTAACGGTGGACCACACGCTGACGAAGTTTTTTTTCCAACCTCGTTGAATGAGTATTCTCAGCATTTAGTTTACTATTTGAAGTTTTTTTTGGATGCTGTAAATTTTATCGAATTGTGCACGGGTCTGAACACGCGACGTAACGTATTTTCTTGGTTGTTTGGTTGTCCTACTACAAATAGTTCCTCGAGCATTGATCGCGCAGGACGTYCAGTTAGGTAAAACGTTTCTAAACTTGAATGAATATGAATACAAAAAGATAAATAAACAAATATATAAAAAGCTTTCAATGGATGGTTACATAACGAATTACACGCTCAATCTATTTATAAGCCGTTGCCCTTTTGACTCTCTTTCAGATTTCAGAATCTCAAAAATAGCCTAATTTAGACACAGGAGTGCAAACACTTAAAGCATKAAAAAAGTGTTATACCTAACCAAAATAAAATAGCGCGGTATAGTGTAATGTAGAACATAGAAAATAAAGGAATTCGCATAATTCAGTACATTTGGGACTATTGAATAACTAAAGTTTCATGGTTTTAGTGTTGTGTATATATGCAATTTAACCGCAGCCTTATGTTTCATGTATGAGCCAAGACTACTGAGTGATCGCAMTTAAGCCGTACAACTGTACAAATCTAAGTAGTGCTAATTTGTACTAAAAGTGGAACCAGAAGAAAGACGGTATTGAATCGCTACATTTGTATCAGTAATTTTGCGTAGAATGATCGCACTTAAACCGTGCAACTGCTAATTTGAATGTACTAGTGAAAGTCGGGAGGAGCCGACGGGGTCTGTTTTTCTAAATAACTGTTCTAGTACGAATATTTTCCTGGGAAAGGGATTTTGAGCTGCAGTGTTAACAATCTCAAATATGGCGCCCTTCTTTCTTAAAAAAAAATTGTTCCTGGCAAACGTTTTTTAAAGTAAAAAAGTCTGATATAACGTTATTATGGTCAAAAACGGCTTATATTTTTTTCAGTTAGGAAATTTTTATATTCCTGGCAAATATTCTTAGAAATTGTTCCTTGTCTGGGGAATTCTTTTTTGATTAATTTCTCGCGGGCAGCCAGTTGTGCCTTACAGCTGGCTGCATGGGACATATAAGAACACGTATGTCTCTCCCAGGAATCCAGAAGCAAGACGGTATTGAATGCTACATTTGTATTAGTAATTTTGCGTAGAGTGATCGCACTTAAACCGTTCAAATGTACAATATCTAAGTAGTACTAATTTGTACTAAAAGTGGACTTGAGCAGGACGGTACTGAATGCTTCATTTGTATCAATTCAATTTAATTTACATACTGCATGCACGATTTTCTAAATACAACTAAATAGCACTATAYCTAGTTTGTACAGTTGTATTCTATCAAGTCACTCTGAACGGTTAACCTTGCGCTCAATAATTTCTCTGAATCCCACTTCCTTTGTCTTCAAATCAATTTTTGTCCCATGCSTCCTCGCTTTTCAACAGGAATCCCAAGACTAGACACTACTGCAAAGACGGATAAGCTTAATGCGAGATTTAATGCTCTGTTTACACATGATTACTAATGTGTTTGTAAGATCAACGTGCGTGATTCATCAGTAAAGCAATTACTTTGGGGATGTAGAAAATCCTGTTTGAACGCTTGTTTTCTGGTTTATCGCCGAGGGGCATTGGATAAGATGATCAAGCCCTGTAGACATTGATCGCTAAAGGCGAACCTCGTGTCAGTGATTAAATGAATTAAATGGGTTAAGACGCCATTATGGAAGCATGTCATAAATGATACAATTGGGGCGTTTTCAGCGGATGAATTACATATGAATGGACTGAATGAGTGAATTCATACACGAACAAGAACAAAATTATAGAATTGAAGATTGAAGTTGAGTGCAAAATAGAAAATAAACATGATTGGACAAGTGTAAAAATTGACGATATTTTGCAAAAATGAAGAGTGAGCAAGTAAAGGAAGAGCAAACTAAGGTAATTCATCAACGAATGAATTATATGTGAACTGAATGATTGAATGAATAAACGAATAAGAACAAAATTATAGAATTGAAGATTGAAGCTGAGTGCAAACTGAAAATCAATATGATTGGACAAGTGGAAAAATTGACGATATTTTGGAAAATGAAGAGCGAACAAAAGAAGAACAAACTAATGAATTTAAGAAAAAAAATAAATGGATAAACGAACTGAATATAAATTAGAAAGGGAATGATTGTAGGGTCTTTGAGTGCCGACTTAAAAAAAGTGAATAAATACTATTAAATAAATGAATAAATTCCCAAATACTTCAACAAAAAAATAATTGATAGATTTATGAGAAAGCATAAAAAAATATAAAACGAAAAAAAAGTCGAAATAAGACTAAGTAACAAGAGAAAGAAGGTACTGACTAATTTTTTTTTTTTTTTTTTTTTTTTTTTTGCTAAAACAGGCTCACTTTCAAAAATAGAAGCTGCCAAGGCTATGGGCAATCTCATTTTTTAATATCATCATAATTATTTGTAAACAAGGTCATAAAACAACGACCCTCTTCCGTTTAGTCATTTTCTCCTTTTATTAATGTTTCTAAACATATCAGTGTTAATTTATACTTTAGTTTGAATGCATTTAGTCATCCAACTCTTGTTTATGCATAAAACTTATCTACCCTAAAATCTCTTCGTTGCATTTGTCTTTATTTTTWTGATTCAAGCTTTAGTCATGCTCAGTAGCGCGAACTAAATCAAAGAATCTCAAAAAGCATTTGTAGAAGAATTATGAGTATATATCTATTGAATGAATTAAAAAATATACTGGGGATTGGATAAATGCTATTTTTTCACCCCGTTGCAAATGCATTGAGATATCAGTACTTCCCATGCGCCCTTTCGCTCTCGGGTTCTAATACTGTTTTAAATCCACCTACGTTTATCCAATTAAATTAATAAACATTCAAAAATATATTTCAATTAACTCCAWTCAGAATATTACGTCCCAAAATGCATGTATCGTGTGATCTCTCCATATAGATCATAACATAACTTTTTACATCAAATTTTCCATGTAAAGTTAATCGGCTTAAACCATAATCCAACGAAAATGACGGAAAACTATCTCAAGCTGATTAGTGGGCTTTAACTTATAATCAAGTATCGCCACTGTTTTAGTAATATCTTGTAGCCTCTTTGTTCAATAAGTATTAATTTTACTACATTTAAAGACCGCTTATGGGGATAGAAGGGTTTATTTTACACGACTAGTCGCTGAGTTTAGACGTGGTGTCTGGTGGTTGGGCACCTACACGTGTTATCTAATGAAAGGTGTACAATAAGTTCAACACAGGTTTGGTTTTTCGCAGTATCACTTACCCTCATCAAACGATCTTGCCATCTTTGAGTTATTTTGTGTATGATAATGGATTAGTATAAGCACTTAAAAGAAACTTACCGAAAAAAAATATTTTATGACTCATTAATTTTCCACAATATGTRTATTTTACTCTTTTTAGATAGTCCTTTGAATGGATCATTTATTGATTTGAATTCGTTTGCTCATTTTACGATTACTCAAATCAGTCACTTTTTTTGACCTCGTTTATCCATCTTTTAAATTATCTTTTCCTTTTTCCACTCGTTAACTCATTGTTGATCATCATATAGAGTATACACCGTGCATCTATCATATTCGCTTTATTTTCTCCTTTTCTCTCATTTAATCCATCAATTCAGCTTGATTTCTTTAAAATATCTTTTTCTCGTCTTTACTACTCCCATTCCGGCCTTTTCTCTCATTTGATCCATCAATTCAGTTTGATTTCTTTAATATTTCGTTTTCATGTCTTTACTACTCCCATTTTCGGCCTTTTTTCATGCAACGCTTTTCTATTCCTTCTCTCCTTTCCTGTCGTTAGGGTTTCACCAGTTGAACAAACACAACAGCTTGTCAACCACACTTTAAACGCCAGGTCTATCGATCGATATAAAGACCCGGCCTAAAAAGAAAACCACTTATTGACATAAAAGTGCTAATTTTTGCTAACTTACCTTTTTTCTCGCTGTTCTCAAACAAAAGACTGTCAGTCTCCAATATAGTTCGAGTTTTTTGGGAAGAAGAGCTTCATGGAATCGCCCAATGTWTTACATARAGGCCATGTTCACTTATATAGCTAAAAGTCATCAATCTTCCCAATTCCTTGCGCTTTATCGTTTAATTTTCTGGTTTTCAGATAGTGTGAACGAAGTTTATCTTTCCCATTTGTTTCAACAAAGAAAACTTAAAGAGTCCTTGGTCTTTTGCCAGCTTCTTTTACTTGAGRGATCSTTTAAAACTCGATTACAGCAAAAAYCAAGCACCACTTTATCACCTTCTARACCGAAATGGTTTACCAGTTGCTTTGGACAACGCACAGTGCGCCKATTCCAATYCACTAGTTGTGTTTCTATTTTAACTTAAAGCCAGTTAAGTTGAAGTGACTATATTGTGAATGTAAACATTTTTCAGGCGTCATCAGAAGTTCTGGCTGTAATGGCCAAGTATGGCAATTTGTAAACGAGACAATTTGATACAACCGTGTTACATTGATAAACAGTATGCTTGAATTTATTCATCACTGTTCGGCTAAAAGGATTTCCAAGATTATCACTAGATATACTCATTCTTAATATAAAAGAGTTAAGGTGCAAGCAAGTGACAGTCCCCTCTCTATAACAACCATGTCTTTATAACGACCATTAAGTATATCTATGTACCTAAATAAACTATATGTCTCAGTCGATCTTCTCTTTAATTCCATGCCTTTTCTTAAAATKTTCTAATGTATAAACTGTGTTTTTGCTCTGGCTTTTGCAACTCAATTGCCAGCTTTTCGAGCTATCGCTATCATCTAGTCAGTGTCCTTACATAATTGATAAAAGAGCTAATACATTCAGAAGTAAAAGAGAAAACAAAAACAAAAACATCTATCAGGTGTAACAACAACACAATCACACCAACGAGAAACAGTCCCCCTTTCCAGGAGCTCTACTTGAGGATATCATTTCTTCTTTTTCGTTATTCCTTTTTCAAATCAATTGCCAGCTTTTCGTGATAATCGGTATTATCTACTGTGTCCTAATATCATTTTTAGAATGCAAATATATCAATAAAAGACGGAAAATAAACGGCTAAAATCAAAACCAAACACGCACTTCCCTCTCCGCTCCCCTCCCCCCCGTAAAAAAGTGTTCTACTAATAGAACGGACGCCTCTAAATCCTTTCAATGGTCATCTTAAAGGGGTTTCGACACTTAATATAACTGACTAAAAGGCTTAAATGTACGATACTTCGGTGTGTAAAGGGAACTTCCGCTAAATGTTGGCAGGAATGGTATATTTTCAATGCGGCATAAAACTGTTTTTATTCTCCTCGTCAGAAATGGAAGTTTACTTTTAAAACAATCAAAGACTCGTCAAATGGCATTTATCGTTGGTTATTGAGTGACCACAGCGGGAGGTCAGCTAGAGGAAGCTCATTAAGCGAACAACAAATTAAAACACGAAAATATAGTACAGCTACTTCAAGTGAGGTTTGACATCTTTCAAAGACAAAAGAAAAATTTATGGAACATAAACAAGTTAGCCGCAGAGCAAGTGACATATAGATCTTTCTGAAACTCAAATAATCTATGATCATTTGCCTTATTGAATTAACTTTGAAAAATGGTCGATTTGAGACCTCTGGTTTGCAGGGGTCCTGACCTCCCTACAGAAGGGATTTGCGGTACCAATGTAGAATACAAAGGGTSACCTCACTAAAATACAAATTCCAGGTCTCTGATCGTTGCCCTGATTTCCATGGACATTGCCATTGAAAGAAACGACATATATGAGAAAAATGGAATTTAGCTATTATCAGACCAAACCGCTATTCCCATCGGTCTAAGGTTGATTTGATTTCCCTGAAAAATGTTATTGAAATATATTATAACACATAAAAATTAAATATTTGGATAACTATACTAGAACCTAGTTATTGCTCTTTTAACAGTATGGACACAAGTAAGACTTTATACTTTATAGTAAGGGCTTGTACATTCYTTAAATAAAATGTAAGATACATCGCATTGTAATATATCGTTAGCATGGACTTGGTATTCCCTATTGAGTAAGTAGTACAGAGTCTCTAAACCAAAGATATCGCCTTTCGCGATAACACATTTTTTTATAGTAGCACCTTTTAATATTTTTTTTTTCTTTTTTCTTAAATGTTGTTTTAGTGCGTTTTTTTTATGTTCGTGCTTTTCGATACATTTACTGAAGATGCACAGATAATTTGCTTTCATAAAATTTCTTTGATTGATAACGAAGGGGAACCTTCTTAAAAGTATATCAATATTCACAATTGCCTATTATACGGCCTCTTATTCCAGACGTTTCTATTCATGTCTTTTACGTGCTATGAATGACATATTTTCACATAAAATTCAATTTTGAATAAGCGGGTATTTGGTTCGACAATTTTGTTTACAAGTATAGTACATTACTTACGTACAGTACCAATATATAGACACCTACGTGAACAGAAACATAATACGCCTATTTGGCATAAAAAAAACCTGTTAAATTGCTTGCCTTAAATCCATGACATCCTAACAAGCTTTTAAAAAATCATCAAAATTAAAGAAGCACTTTAAGCATTTTTATTACTATTTGAGTTAAGTTAGACAGTGCGCAGGTTTTTGCCATACATTGCTATATGTAGATAAAGTTTATTATTATTATTATTATTAAAAAAGGGTAAATAACTGCACTTCTTTAAGAAAAAAATATTATGAGGAAAATATAATGTCAACGAGATTGGACGATGGAGTCTGAGCGGTTCTTTTTTAAGCAAACAACTTTTCGTCAAGCTCTCTTAAATTAGAATCGATTGTGTCATTCTTTTGGCCTTCAAATTGATCTTAACTTTTAAACTAATTATTGCGCTCGTGTGCGACACGCTTTGAAGTCAAACGACATTTAAACATCTATTTTTTAAACTTGGAAAATTGAATATAAAAAAAAACTTTTGAGTTTTGAGACTTGCATTGTGCTATAACAATATCGTAAGTCAATGCTACTCAATTATATACCCTACTCATTTATTATTTTTTCTTATCTAATATGATTTTCCCATTTCCTTCAAAAAACATCTTGTTTATTTATTCTCTTGTTATGCTAAGCTTTTATTTTGTTCGAAAGGAARCAAACGATAAAGAAAAAATTGTATTTTTGTAAAATTTATTAACCCAAAGACGTAGATCTCTAAAGTTATTTGGGGCTGTAATCATGAAACACACTACAGATCTCAATACAAATTGATCGTGCCACACTTCTCTTGGAAATTCATGTGTTGGCTTTCATTTGCGCATTTACGATCATTTTGATATGCTGGATAAGGTAGTTATCTGATTCTGTCTATGCGCATGCATAGATCTTGGCAAATAAAAAGTCGTCAGTTGCATACTGGTATATTATTTTTCTTTGAGAAAAAGAAAAACCGGACAAAATTCGAAATATATGTCGGTGTAAATGATTTCGTACAGAGAGTAAATAGTACAATGTGAAAGCAAAACAGTGAGATTCAGGTAACTGAAAGCTTTCCAGCAAACGTTTCACCATTTAGAGCTCTCTCTGCTATTTGTTCTCGTTCGAGACTTATATAATTGCGATTTCGGAGGAGGTTATTATGTTTCGGCGACATTAAAGCGTTTATTTTTTGTGCATCTTCGGAGGAGGCTATTATGCTTCGGTGACACTAAAGCGTTTATTAATTTTTTCTTTCAAATCTAACAATATTAACATCCGGTTCGAACAAAGGGATGACATGCATAGCTCAATAGTTAATGTTTAGTCATTTTGGCACAGTACTACATTTCCATTATCAGATAAACGTTCTTTACATCGAGAACTATCAACATGCATCAGTTTTCAAAGTTAGGATGACACCCTTATGTTCTAGAAATTGATTGCGGGTTTGGGACACTTCAATCTAACATTTGCAAAATGTGAGTTTTACCCCTTTGTTATGCATGTAACAGGAAATGGACAAATTCTTATGATCATAAACGCCTTTTCGAACGTGATGTCGTGTAAATACCATAACAGGTGTTCCAAACATTTGGCACAGGGTCTATACAGGCTATGCAAACAAACGTACATGCAGAAAGGGAGAAAGTCAACAGACGGAATAACGTTCTGGATGCTTCAACAAACAAAACAAATCATAGCCTTTTGTTTGTGCAGCTATATGCCATATTTTTTTCGCTTGGTATAAAGTTTAAACTAAGACTTCTTCTAGTTTATTCTCGGCTTCCTCTATCAGGCAACATGTCTAAGGTTCTTTTGCTGTTGCTCATCGGCTTCGTGCCACTGATCGCATCCGAGTATGTCCGTGTATGTTATTACACNGAGGAGGATCTCCAAAGAGCGACAAAGGAAGGTTTACTCTTTTGTGTCAAGAACTTCGTGAAGCTTTTGAGGCAGAAGCAAAGGCCACTGGGAAAGAACGACTTCTTCTCACTGCTGCTGTTGCAGCTGGACTTTGGACAATCAAAGGAGCGTACGACATTGAAGGTATTTCTAAGCCACTAGACTGGATCAACGTCATGACGTATGACCTTCATGGTACCTGGGAATCCAAAACTGGTCATCACACAGCCATGGGACCAGAGGGTGATAAGCTTACATTACCATTCGCCATCTGGTACTGGATGAATAACAGAGACACATGGGAGAAACCTGGAATCCGTAATGGTATGCCTGCCAACAAGATTGTTCTTGGCCTTGGTACATATGGGCGTGCCTTTGGACTTGCAAACCCAGCAAATAACGGATTAGACGCAGCTCGTGACTATACATTCACCCCCAAAGGTAAATACACAGGAGCGGAGGGCTTCCTGGCTTATTTTGAAATCTGTAAGCTTGGGCTTACCGTGGTTCATAAGAACAAAGCAATGGCACCCTATGGCTACAAAGGAAAGACATGGGTTGGCTACGACGATCCTGCAAGTCTTATCTACAAGATTGATAACATTGTGAAAAAGAACCAGCTACGTGGTGTGATGTACTGGGCGATTGACTTGGATGACTTCAGTGGAGCCCACTGTGGGCAAGGCAAGTATCCTCTTATGAGCGCTGTAAAGAAATATCTGACATCCGGTGTACAGCCAACCTTCCCTGTAACACAGCCACCCTTACCAGGCTCTACAGCAGCACCTCCAGTTGTAACGACTCAAGCCCCACAGCCAACTACTCCTGGGGGTGGAGGAGGTGGTAGTGGAGGATGCAAAGCCATTGGTGCCTGGGCTGGAAATGCTAACATGGACGCCTGGTGCGTGTCAAACTGTGCTGTTGGTAACTGTCCAGCCAGCATGTGCAAATGTTAACCACACTAACTATTTGTAACTTATCGTTGATGAAACATTGTGAAATAAATGAGAGAAAAAAATAAAATGATTATTATTGTTATATTTCAATTGATTGCATGTGAATTATAATCGTGCAAACAAAAAATTATGCTTACTTACATTGTAAACTCGAACAAAACACTAAGATTAGCTAGTTTGCAATGAAATAAATAAATGCTCTAGTTATCGGTTAAATACAACATGACAGTATACCAGTGCTATTTGATTTAACAATACCACAATCAAAAATGTTTGGGGCGGACAAAGATATAGCCAAAAAAACATTAAGCTTTTGTGCGCATGTTCATATGATTTGCTGATATTTCTTTTTATATATTTGTGCAACTATGGTGCTTTGATATTCAGTCTTCTTGTCGCACAGAAGTTACCAATATGTGTTTTGTAATATCATCAACAATTTTCGCCATTTAAAATTTTATTATTGAAAAATCCTATTGTGAAACAGATATTTACTTTTGATATACTATTGATAGTTTTTAAAGGAACAAAGTGCAGCTGTTTCAATATAAAGTATTTCACCTTTTTCGTTTCATAAGACTCACCAAAAATGCTAAAAGAAAGAGACAAATCTGAGGAAAAACTAATGCGAAGKACCAACTTTATAAAATGGTCTAGTAATTTGTCATACCTTTGAAATGCCCTCAATCTATAAAATAGTCGATTCTGATTGGGCGCAAAGAATGTACAATGCTATTCCAATACAAATGATAGATTCAAGAAGCTGGATAAATAGACCTAACGTCAAGTTGGTGGACGTGTGCTAGTTCGTGCGATATTGAAACATGTGTGCAAATGATGTTTTGGGCTTCAAAGACGCTGACAGCTACTTTGTATTTACACTGCACACTCATGTTTGCATAAAGCTCCCATAAAGATATCTAAACTCGAGGAAGGTCTCACTTGGATTGATCACATGCTCTTGAGCATCATGTCTCAGATAATTTTGCTGTTGCTCATCGGCTTCGTGCCACTAATCGCATCTGAGTATGTCCGGGTATGTTATTACACCAACTGGTCCCAATACAGACCAAAAGGAGGCACGTTCTGGCCTGAGGACATCGATCCCCATCTTTGCACCCATGTTATTCACTCATTTTCAAAAGTAAGCCGGACCACGCATAAAATGGAGAAATATGAGGAAAATGACTTTGATTTGTACAAACGAATCAACGCACTGAAAAAGATCAACCCAAAGTTGAAGACCCAGATCGCAGTTGGTGGTTGGACGCACGAAGAGAAAGACAGTCCTTTTTCGAAGATGGTCGCAACCAAAGCAAAAAGGGCTATTTTCATCAAATCTGCCATTGACACCTTAAGGAAGTTTGGTTTTGATGGACTTGACCTTGACTGGGAGTACCCTGGCATGCGAGGAGGATCTCCAAAGAGCGACAAAGGAAGGTTTACTCTTTTGTGTCAAGAACTTCGTGAAGCTTTTGAGGCAGAAGCAAAAGCCACTGGGAAAGAACGACTTCTCCTCACCGCCGCTGTTGCAGCTGGACTTTGGACAATCAAAGGAGCGTACGATATTGAAGGTATTTCTAAGCCACTAGACTGGATCAACGTTATGACCTATGACCTGCATGGTACCTGGGAATACAAGACAGGTCATCACACAGCCATGGGGCCAGATGGTGATAAGCTTACATTGCRATTCGCTATCTGGTACTGGATGAATAACAGAGACASCTGGGAGAAACCTGGAATTCGAAAAGGAATGCCAGCTGAGAAAATCGTTTTAGGTCTTGCAACATATGGACGTGCGTTTGGTCTTGCCAGTCCCAGCACAAATGGTCTAGATGCTGCAAGAGACTATCAGTACACGCCCAAAGGTAAATACACCGGTGCTGAAGGTTTCCTGGCATACTATGAAATTTGTAAACGAGGTCTCACTGTGGTCCACAAGAACAAAGCAATGGCTCCTTATGGTTACAAGGATAAGGACTGGATTGGTTATGATGATCAGCAGAGTCTCATCTATAAAATTGACAATGTAGTGAAGAAGAATAAGCTACGTGGTGTGATGTTCTGGGCGATTGACTTGGATGACTTCAGTGGAGCACATTGTGGACAAGGCAAGTACCCTCTTATGAGCGCTGTTAAGAACTACCTTACTTCTGGAGTCCAGCCAACGTTTCCCGTGACCCAGCCTCCACCTGCCCCCGTCACTACCGCAGCTCCACCAATGCCAGGAACAACACAAGCTCCTCCGCCTCCGCCAGTCACTACTCAGGCACCACCTGCTCCAGCTACTACAGCGTCCCCTGGAGGTGGAGGATGCAAAGCAATTGGAGCCTGGGCCGGAAATGCTAATATGGACGCATGGTGTGTAGCCAATTGTGCTCTCAACAATTGCCCAAGTAGTATCTGCAAATGTTAGTTCAATGTATGAACTTACCAWAAGAAAATAAAGAAACATTATTCCATATTAGTTACCATATGTTTATTTGTTGACTGAAGTATGGTATTTTATACCTTAAACAATACCATCCAATTCGTTCCTCCTTTTATTCATTCTAAGACAGGATTTTCATTTTTTTCGATGAACTATTATATATATCTTTTTCTTTTCATAAGGCACTCGTTAAGTTTAAACACTGTGCAAGCATGTTACGAATCGAATTGTGCAGTTTTTAGCGAAGGATTTCTCTTTGTCAATGAACTTTATCCCTACTCTTGCCTGGGTACAAAAAAGGAGCTAAAATCTATAGGTTGATTTTTAAAAGCATATGTTCCTCTAAAAACGATCTGTAAGCGTACGTAATCGGATCATATGATATCAGCGGAAGTGATTTTTGTAAGAGACCTTATGCATTCAAAACGCCATTACGAGCTCTATCTTGAGTTGCATGTCTGCCATAAAAGTAGTTGCACAACCTCAATATTACGCGATTCCTTATTAAGGTATTAGATGCAGGAAACACAATATTTTACGTTTAGAAGTGATTAGGTAAGCTTCSTCTACCCACGTGAGCTATAGGTGAGATTATTTAATCAATGATGRAAGTGTTGAATTATAAAATGAGAGCGACCTAGAGATTTTGCACAGGAAGCCCAAAACAAAAACAGGATGCAAAGAGACTATTTTCTTTAGATATACGAGCTTAAAATATATTGATTTTTTTGAATTTGATTGGTTGCTGAAACAACATTTTATTTAGCAAGCATTACATACACAACCTTTTTTTTCTAACAAAAATACAGCGAGAACTTTTCTTAATCGCATTTTATYTACTCCACTTATAGTAATCTATATACATACTACTATTTAGTGCTAATAACAATTACTTTGACGAGGCAAATTGCAATGGATTTTTCATCGTGCTCTTAGTCTTGAATTTAGTCTTCATGCTTCAGTTTCTTCTCCAGATGCTGAAGCTATAAAAGGAAAAATCACAATAATTGAACTGTTAGGATTTAAAAGTTTAAATCTCTCATAAAAAAGATATTCATGCTCACATTGAGAAGGGGAAGATCCCACAATTTTCAAAAGTGTACGAAATTGACAAAAATGAGTTAAATTTTCACGGAAAATTCATCAACTTACTAATCTTCAATCGAAAATTCAAATGATTAACAAAATTAGCTACAGCCCCCCCTCCCCCCCTCGCCTGAGGAAATTCGCGCTCCGCGGTCCCTGCAGATAGATATATCAACTTCTCTCTAGCTATTAACCAAAAACACAATGCCTTCTTTATGGTTTACCSCGCCATCATTAACAACCATACATCATAAAGCAGGGTGACCTGTGAGTTTCCAATGATATATATAATGAAAATATAAATAGTAGAATTCAAGTTGCAAGTTGTGTGACTTTTTCATCATTTTATACTAATTATAATGAAAAATATCTATAGGTACTAGTGCCGATAATATTTTCAATCATTGCACGCTTAAAGGTTCGTCCCTCTTAGATGCAAATGCAAAGTTATCTCTTCAAGATGGCACAATGAAGTACCGTGAAAGATCTTTTGAGATTTTGAGATTCACGTTGTAGAGGTCAYTACTCGTTTCATATACCTTCTCTTTTTTCTCTTGAGCTTTCTAGCGCATCTCCTGACTCGGCCGATTCACCTGAATTTCCTGATTCACCAGATTCAGCGTTGTCAGCYCTCGAATCCTCAGAATCGCCCGAATTCTCAGAATCTTCCTCCTCGTCTTCATCAGTTTCTGGTTCATTGGATGGTTTAGTAGCTGCCTTTTCACCTGAACCACTTGGCTCTAGAAAAAACGTTGAAGTTCTAGAGTCGGTTAACAAAATCAAACAGCAACAACAACAACAGCAGCAAAAATCAAATTATTTGTCCCGCAACATCGTTTTTGATTGAAAATTACTCTGATTCCTTGCAGTGATGAACTTATTCTATATGAAATAAATAATTGAATGTTGAAATATTCCTGCATTTCAGTGTTGCGTCTTTAAGTTCAATCTTACAATATGTTAATAAAAATGACGTCAAAGAAAGGCTTCATTAGATATACGAACTTTGATGGAGTCGCTTAAGAATGGTTTCATGGCATTAAATTTATCGTATGCAATGTAGGGAATAAACATATTCCCAGATGGCGTTCATGAAAACATGATTGAGCGACTGTTTCAAAGTTCGTTTATGAATCCTCCCTTGACGTCATCATCATTTGCATATTGGAAGATCAAACCTTCAAAACTCAAAGACGCAACACTGAAATGCAGAAATATTTCACTATTCAATTATTTACTTTATATAGAATCACATCACAGAGAATCAGAAAATATTTTGTCAGGCGTCATAGGCGCTTTAAATGTTCCTAGTTGACAACCGTCCAATTCATAATGCAACTTTCCAAACAGCATAATAAATCTGTCTCCAGTATGTATGAAGGGTGCTTGGTAATACACACCGAATAAATCCTTATCCACTAGATAAATCTATACAAATTCCGTGGAGTGATTAACTTTATAAGCACCCTTCGCACAGCCGGTCCTTACTTCAGATCGGGCAAAACTTTCTGAGTAAACTACACTGTAGATAAAATTCTTTAACAAACTTACTGCTTGTTGGAAACATTTTTACCACGGTCATAGTATCATACGTATATCACATACCTGGACGAGCCTCTGACTGGCTTAGAAGTGTCACCCCCAAAACAAAAAGTAAAATGATGATCTTGCTGTTCATGTTGGATGACTGTGGCAATATAAGACAGAATATCATATAAGAAAAAAGTAAGGGACGATTAAAATGTGATTCATCACGGACATGACCAGCATCCAATGGGGTCGTGTTAAGAGTTGTATGGACAATTAGGTGRGACGTCCAATATATGTGCGCTAAYCGTTTAAAARGMCAAAAATATATGACGTACATACATCTATCTCACCGTTTGAATGAACATATGCTCATGTTTCTTACATAGAGAAATATGTACTTTCCGTTTTTATCATATAATTATCTATGAAATACCTATATTTCTCCATTTRGTAAAATTGATATTTTCACTAGTYAAAATAACACATTCGAGGRTTCTRTATYTAGTGGAAGTAAGAAAAAAGGTATTTTACGACATAATTTGCTTTCATATGRAATCATATGATAAACAAAATAGTACATGGTCGCTTGGAGATACGAATTTTKTCTTCTCGTGTTGAAAATCTCTCACGAGTGAGGGAGATCTTTTCAACACTCGAAGATAAAAACAGTATCTCCGCGCGCCCATGTAATATCCTCTATTTCTCGAATAGCAACCAGCTTCGTATAAAGTGCTGGTGCACTAAAGATTTATTCATGAACTTAACTCCCACTTAGTCTGCCCGGGCTATTAGCTCATGGCCTAGYGTGAAGTGGGAAAATGGAGGGAGTGAATCAGAAAGTATTTAGCAGGCCTTTTTACTGTTATCAAATGTTACTATGTTACTTCTCCAATGGTTTAGAAATCTTGCTGTCCGCTAAAAACAAAGATATTTACTTGCATGGTATAGATTTGTTCAATGAAATATTACGAGCTTCAGAAAAAAAATGTTTTTTTTTAGTATTTTCATCCTAGCATTTAAATCCTAAACCCTCACAAATAGATTATTYCTTTTTCTAAACATTTTCTATATATTTTGAAATATACTGAAATGAAATMAAATCCGTTACGAAAAATACGACCTAATGTCTGAAAGTTAATCAACAACAAGGCAATAAATTGACAGTATGTCAAGTTTTGCAGTCTGAAATGATCTTTGATCAAGCTATCCATTTCAATAAGAAAACGTTGTCAAAAAAAGATATTTTCTTAAAATATCCGAAATAATCAAACGAACAGGGACTTGAAAAGTACCTGACTATGGGCACTTGCTAAGGGTCATATAACCTTTCGCAGATCAAAATAATAGACATTCATGTCTAACTGGTGCTTTTAAGCAGTGATTTAACACCTCAAAGAGCAGGCTAAATAGATATATTGTGTTGATATCTACCATCAAATAATAAACAATCCCCCTCATAGATACAYCTGACTTTCAGTCATTTGTCGTCGTATAAGTCTATCTATTGGATTATTTGTTTAGAAAAAAAATGACAAAGTGTCATAAACAATGAAGATGATCACTCGAGTTCATTGTTATCCATTGTAGGTTGGTTTTGAATCAAATCATTCTCCATTTTCTTAGAAACATACATAAACATTSTAACAGAAAAAGGAAGGAACATTTTAGAATAAAATGAAAAACTTTCCAATAAATCGCTATACTGAAATTTTTATATTATTCAATMTATTCATATAATAAATTTGTTCAGTAATTATCCTTTTACGATGGTCGTTAAAACGCGATTGATAAATTTAGATTTTTTTAAAGTTTTAGATGATATAAATGAAAAATGACTTCCTTACCTTGATATCCTGTTCTTTATTCGATAATAGCAAACAGTTGCTGTGTAAATTATGGCAGCGAAGAGAACTATAGATATACAAGTAACAAATGAGCTGGCCAATCAGCTACCAGACACGTGTCTGTAAAACGCGTACCTCAGGTGCCTGTCACGTGATTGGCTGGTGGACAGTATAGCTTGCGCTTAATCATCTTATATTTAATTCTTTATTTGACAGCATTACAAGTGGCAGGATTTTTTTTATTACTTAAATAAATTCTAGACTATAATTCGAATAAATTTTACCCCAAATTTTGAAATATTATAGTCAAACTTTACACCTATCTGGATCGCATTCTTCTTTTTATTTCGTACAGTCTACACAAACTACGACTACTAAAACAAGAACACTTGAAAGAGACTTCAGAGTGGAAGTTTTCGAAAAGACGTTTTGAGAATGATGCCGGTTGTTTTGTTTAACCGCAGCAAAAATATGGCGTCCCGTTATTTGGATATGATGTTTTAGTATTACCATACTAATGGACTATTGCAAATCCTTCGTTCTGATTGGCTACGCTACTTGGGGTCTATTTTCAATAGTCCTTGACTAGCGAAAAGCGACAAATTTTTGCGTATTTTTAGCAATAAAAACCTTTAGATATAATTTAGATATGTATTTCATTCATTTTTTGTCCAACTAGTATGGTAATTCTAAAACAAGATCTCTCGGCCTTGTGGACTACGAGCTGATAGCCCATTCGGCCTTCGGCCTCTATCAGCTCGTAGTCCAACTCGCCCTCGAGATCTAATTGGTAAATATGCTAACTCACTATGACTATCACAGCGGAGAACAATTTTGAGCTATTTGCCTAAATGCGTAGTTTTTGAATGGGATTTAAAAAAAATCCAAGATGGCGGAACCTAAGATGACGGATYTTCGAGTTAAAATTGCTTGTTTTAATTTTTTTAACTTCAAAAACTACTCAAATTGTAAAGTTTACCATTAAATAACGATGTCAGCACGATCGCTAGCTAGCATCGTCAAAGTCCCACTTAGTGGTCAAAAAGTCTGTGAAGTGTGGACTAGTTTCTTAATGAATTTAATTATAAGGAAAGGCTGAGACTAAGAATAACACATTTTATTTAGAAAAAAACTAATACTTTTAAATGKCTTTGATTCAATGGCGTGTCCACTAGGGGGTATATAATAATTGGAAATCGTTGATCTGATTGTAACTGTTTTGAAGAGTCAATGGCACTTTTGAATAATGTTAAGTTAAAGGGCAACTGGTACATCACAGGCGCAATCAAGCGATAAATGGATACTTGTAATCACCTCCCACGAACATTTCTATATTTCATTTCCCCTTTGCCCCAAAGATGGTGAAAGACAACTCATTTTTTAACAAGAAGAAAAAGATCTTCCCCCATTGATAAAAGCTACACTTTTTATGGTCAACAAGGCGAGAAAAAAAAAATCGTACAGTTGATGTCCTTTTTTGTCGACACCAAACCMACGCCTTTRTTAGACACCTTCGTTACTGGCCGGTTGTARGAWGGGTGCATTTATCTATTCGACTGCTAAAGCTATCCATTCCAGGAATTGTGGTATGTATTCTGTCCGCTGGAAAAGGATTTAATTTATCCGATGGAATGCGCTCGTTCATTCAACCGGCTTATGGTGGATATACATTTATCCGGCTTATTATACATCTTTTATTCTCCTTGATCACAACGTGCATTTTTTTTTTCTTTTTTTGAAATCCTATTCTCCAGGGACATTTATTTTTCCATGATAGGCTTCATAACAACACTTATTATTCACAATTGTCACAGCAGGTTTTCACATTTAGAGACCTATATCCAAAGCCGCCTCAGTGTGAAAATGTCATTTCGTCGTAAAGTCGATCAGATACCATTCAATCAGACAATTCAATTTTCTTGATTCATATGCAATTTTTGAAGGCGGGTCATCCGATCTCGGAATTTTTTGATATTGACGTTCATCCAATAAATAGTACCGAAGATTGGATTACCAAGCATTTTCAGGTTTTGATGATGGTTGAAGAAAATTAAACGTAGTAAATCAATTAAAAAAATATATCATGGGTCATTTCTTCAGTCGGGATTCTACCCTCTCATGCATATTGCTCTTAAACGCACATACTACTATTAGATCATGTAATTTCAAAAAATTTTTAATCGCTGTTTTGTTGATTATTACATTGGGTATAACACAATTGTGTTGAGAGCATGACGCCTTGCGATRATGTACAAAATTGTAAATAATTTTTAGACACTACGTACGATGGTGGGTACAATTGTTTTTCGAGGAATTTTTTAATTGTTTGTCAATAAGATTACATGCCTCAGTCAAAAATGCGCAATAGTCTCCTTCAAGGTTCCCTGCGCCATCTTGAAAGGTAACCGTGCCTTTGCATCGAGGCGAATGACCGTTGAGCTCATATTGATAGAAACCTTCTTTCACACCTACAGACAATTATTCATGGGTATCTATCATTGCACGCTCAACGGTTGTGTCGATTCGATTCAACGGAACGGCCACCTTTCATGATGGCGCAGGGATCCAAGAAGCTAGGAGAGTATTCGTTAAAGCGATACATGAGATAGTGACTCCACTGAGTCGCAATTCAACATGGCTGCGATCATAATTTGCCGCAAAATTTGTTTATTAGCTGAAATTGTAAAAACCACTGCTAATATGTACCATTAAGGCATTTAGGCATTTTTCAATGGATCATTTCTATTTGCTTTCATCTTTCGTTCGTTGTAGCCACTACTAGCGCTGTCCTCAGGGGCAGGCTTTTTCTTCCCTTCTCCTTCATGTTCTTCTTCTCTTATGCATCTTGGAATAAGATCTACGAGAGAAAGTGCAATAATATTATAAATTAACTGGGAGCATTTGTATAGACTGAACGTGTCTTTAATGGAAAATGATAATAAAAGAACGAAAATGACGTGAGTCACTTATAGGCAGAGTTTTCTTACTTGGGAGACGCAGAAACTTGCAGAACTTGTTGCACTTATGTTCGTCGATGAATCTTTTGTGTGGTTTTCTTCCTAGATTACCAATTCCAAAGTATCTAAAAAGAGTATCTTAAAATATTTTACTATTGTTTTTTTTTTCATCAATTTTACCCGTTTCTACATAAGSTTCCATTCTAAAATACTTTTTTCAAAAATTATACATGTTTCCGAAACTAACCTTTCGGCATTTATTGTCCTTGTTGCGATTTCTACATCAGTCCACRGAAGGCCCACCCCTGTAAAATATTTTCGAAGATTAGTATAATCTCCACACATCGTGATTGGCACTTGATTGCATACCTTGTAAATCAGTGATAAGTGCTTCTTGTTCAGTAAACTCGTAGCTAAAGTGAGCAAGCGCTATTGCTTTGTTTTGATCTTCTGCAAGATCTTCAGGAACATTCAAATACGTCATGTCATTATTGATAAGTTTTTGGAAAGATCCCTCCAGCTTTTCCTCGATCATCCATGTGCTTCCTTTCCCTTTGAACATCCAAACATTTATAATTCTGTGACAAAAACATTGYAAAGGAATCACATAAATCAGMCTTTACAAATTTTAYCTTCAAAACCAAACCTTCACAGACGTCGTTTCYAATTACACTAGAAATTTCAGCAGWTCAATACACAAATACTTATAAACTTGCGSCAGAGGAAATACAAAATCAGGCAAAGTGATAACACCAGTTATATAATGSCTTCGTTCGGTTTACGAGGGTACCAACRTCAAATCAATATCAAGGAGCTCGCTGCATACAGTAGTCATCTTCACAGTTCCTTGCGCCATCTTAGGAACTAGCCGTACCTTTGCATCGAAGCCAGATGACCGTTGAYCTTGTATTGATAGAAACCTTTCACACCTACAGACCATTATTCACAGGTATCTATCATTGCACGCTCAACGGTTGTCTTGCTTCGATGTAAAGGCAC